TGTGCCTTCTTAACTGAAATTCCATGTCTTTCTAGGTGAAATTTGATCTGTTGTAAAATTACGTATACGTGTAAAGATTTTTTTATAAATTCTTCTCTTCCATAAGCTCCATGTTGAAATTCAAAGTACAGTAGATTCTACGCTTTTGTATAAATAATTTACATCCTGTGTAAATTATTTCAAAGTTAATATTCTAAACTATTTGCACGTTCAAGATCGAACGTAGAAAAGTTAAGCAAGTTACTTGAATACGTTTCAATTTGTGGGATACAACTTGCAAATCTTTATTCCTGCATTTCGTACGAATTACACATAAAAAATATGTGTAAAAATATATTATACGTAATGTTACGTAGAATTACGAATTGTACATGAAGTAAACTAAGATATAAAATAAGAATTATATATAATTATATATAAAATATACATATATATAATTATATATATTATATATAATTATATATAAAATATACATATATAAAATATATTTTGTGTATATTAAAAAATTATGGAAAACATATTTATTAGACACATGTCAAACATATTTATCAGAAACATATTTATTAATAACAAAAAAATTATTTTTATTTACCATGCATAAGATGTATTTTAAACACTAATATTCTAGAATTTATATAATCAACATTAAATATAAAGATTAAAAAGATACATACATATATATACGTGTGTTTTACACAAAAAACATAGGTGAATTTTCATTTAATTGTAAAGTCAATTTGTCGTTCTGTTCTTTCTCCAGATCATTTATATCTAAATCAACGCTGCACAGAAATATAAATCATAAACACCATAATAAGTATATATGTGCATAGGATTTAATAACATACTACGAACTTACTCGTGTATTAATGCTCTTGCTCTAAAAGCAGCCAAATGAGCATAATATGTAGGTGCAGGATAACTAACAGATCTCGTGCAACGTGCAAACAAGTGACAAAGATAATATGTAAGCTCCTCAATTTCATCTTCTTGCATTCCATTTTCATTCCATATACATCTGTATTTTGTAGGTCTCGCGGTACCCTACGTTTTTATTTATGTAAATATTTTGAACTTTATATCATATTATGTGATAAATATGTTGTATACTATGTATATACTACAATAAATACGACTTACTTGTATACTAGCATGAGATACGAGATAAAAATCAATTTGAGTTGGATGTGTAATCTCTGAATCAACGATGGTACCTGCTTGAACGTTAAAGTTTCTATCATCGGAATTATTTTTATCAGTTGGGAAAAGACGTATGTGATGTCGTTTTTGAACTACGAAGAACGTAATTGGCACCATACATTTTTCAGTGTGCTCTAATTCCGCGATAGCTTCTTTTATTGCAAACAGTTCACTATGTATCACTTGCGTAAGTTGTCCTTCACTTACACCGTCTCTATTTACGTGTAATTAAAAGTACATTGCATTAGTATTTAAGCTTACACATTGTTTAATATCTTCATCTACAAACCGATAAAAAATTATTCTTCGGGGTTTATGTCCTGTTCTCTGGTAAAAGTAAAGCAATTGTTTCCTCATAATTTTTTTCAAATCGGCGATTATTTCTTCTCTCGGTGATTGAAGTCTTATTTCAACATTATATTGGAAAGCATTGGGATCATGACTTGCTGCAACCTACATTAACATATTATTGAACAATGTGTTTATATAAATAGACATTTGCACGATTCAAATGGTGAACTAAAAAAGATTCTTACAGCAGCAATTGAAGGTATATTTAAGGCATCAGGTGATGGATGAGTCACATCTGCACCAACAATCATACATGGTACATTTAAACAAGGAGGACTGAAAAAAATTCATACTTTTTGTACACGAAATCCATATATATATACTTGCATATAACTGTAAAAGACATAAGAAATAACATTACCGATGAGACAAAGCCAATTTGTGATTAATACCATTAAGCTTTGAATTAATTTTTAATAAAATATTTCCAATAGTTGAATCATTTAATTTTCTTAAGGTTTGCTGTTTTATGCATTGAGTTACAATACCGCCATGTATATGAATTTCCGAAATTTGTTTTACCACACCTGCGAATAATCAAATATTTTATAAACATTTTGTACATAAAATAATATATTACTTACTGTATGCGCGATCCACATTCGGAAGTATTACTATTACAAGTTGCATATTTTGTTGCTTTTTCTCCATAAAATATTCTTGAACATTCCTAACATCTCTGTAATGTAATTTTATATTTTTAAATGGAGTTTGTGGTTTGTTAATATTCATGTTTAAAGATCTACCTATAAAATTAGTATTAAGGTTACATATATTTTAAATACCATGATGGAAAATTTAGTATTTTAATTCTAGCTACTAACCACACTCTTGTAATTTAAAATATAAATGATGTAACTCAGGATCACGCACATACATGTCTAAATTTAATATAGTCCATGAATTATCTGGTAAAGTACATGGATTTAAAAATTTTTCTGCTCTCCATGTTCCTTTGTATACATTGATGTTCTTCTGATAATATTCCAACACGGGAGCTTGAAGAACTCTTGCCGGCACTTTTTCAAATTCCCCTTGTACAGAAAAATGGAATTCCTTCGCTACAGTTGACTGACGATTTAAATCCATTTTAGCAAACTGTAAACGTATCAATATTTTAATTTACTCTGATCATGGTTTCCAATTATAAAAATAATTTTAAAATCTCTTACACCGTTCATAATTTTCTCTTTGCGTCTTTCAGTATTAGTTGCTGCTTCACGAATCATTTTGGAAGTTTGAGAGTCGTCCATTTTTTTCCGCAGGACTTGCCCAGCTATGACTGTACATAGCTGTAAAATATAAATGAAATTATTATTAAGTGTGATAACTTTAAATATATA